AACTTGACAGGCTTGTATAATTTACAGCCTCCATAGTAAAAGAGGTGTTTTTATTAAATGACTGCCTGAATTTCTACAGCCACTTCAGACTGATGATACTGAGGAGGCTTGCATTCTGCTGCCATCATTCAAATCCTTCCCTTTCACCACAAGAATATGGCTGGGATTCCAGTTCAGACCCCATATCCAGTTATTTATCTATTACTGCTCATCAATTCAGAGCTGAGGCTATTTGTGCTGGTACCTCGCTTCACACACCTTAAATAGCTTTTGTTTCTCATTTTATAAAGCTTTCTTTTATCAAATAAAACATTAACTAAACAATAGCCAAAATCCATTTATCACCAGGAAAATGCTCCTTACATAGAAGGCCTGTGTTTTATGGTTATGTATTCAAATTTCTGTTTAAACTGAACTACAATCTGACAAAGAACTGGTGTTTTTTTGCTGACTGCAGGAAAGTATCTAGCATTATTTTACTGTACAGAAAAGAAGGGTATTTGTACAGTGAAATACTTTTATCAGACTCCACTAAGGAATATTTTTGCACTGATAAAATAAGAGAAGGCAAATAGGGAAAGCGACTTCAATCTCAACATTACAGTGCTCTAGAAGGATGTTTACACTGCTGGAATGAAAACAATTCATAACCAAGCTTTTAACTTAAAATAAGTAATATAAATATTTATCAGAGTAGTGTTTTAAGGCCTGTATTACTAAACTATTTCTGTATTATATTTGGAGTGACAGCTATTGTTAAAATCGAAATGCTTTCATGGCAGAAAATTAACTGAAATCCATTTAGCCAGCATGGAATTTTGCATTAGTATCCATTTACTGGGCTTCGAAAACTCAGGTCAGAATTTCAGACAGATAGACCTTATCCTGGGAATGTGTTTTGTCTTAGCTTGACCTCTTCTGAGGATCCCACTGATATTTAGTAGAGTGTCCACATCCTTCCCTCTTTTAAGGCAGGTCCTTGAGGATGAATTCTGGATATCATTCCATAGTACATAAGCAGCTGCTGAGCCTGGGAATGCCACCACTGACTCCAGTGCAAGCAGATGCACAATTAAATTTCTCTAGATGCTTTTTCTTGCAGGAGAGGCACAAACCCTTGCAATGCCAAGGCTTCATGGTCACTCTTGGATATCCATCCTCACTCTCAGGAAGCAGTATGTGGCTTTTCTTAAGCACCTTTGACTGACATCCCTCAACAGTCTTTAATTTTTTAATCTGCCTGCCAGGCACTCTGTTGAGGCAACCTGAGGTGGAGCAGAACAGCTGCAGCCCAAATTCACAATATGAAAATGCATATCTTCAGACCATCGATTCACACAAACACTCTCTCCTCCCCTCCCTCAGCTACCAACATGACACACCTTCCACACACTGCTGTGGGGACCCGAGCCCTGTTCAGAAAGCCAGTGGTGCTCCATGACGTGCTTGGAAGCATTAATTAATTCCCTTCCCACCTTTCCAGCTCTCCCAAGACAGCCCCACATGCCTTGCCTAGAGCTGCTGCTGCCACCCCCACATCCATGGCAGCTCCTGCCGTGTCAACACTAAGGTCCGAGGAATCACAGAACCATTAAAGTTGGAAAAAATCAAAAAGATCATCAAATCCAAACATTAACCCAGAACCCACCATGTTAACTACTAAACCATGTCCCCAAGTGCCACATCCACACATTTTTGAACACTTCCAGGGACAGTGATCCCATCACTTCCCCAGGCGGCCTGTTCCAGTGCCTAACAACCCTTCCAGTAAAGAACTTTCTCCTAATATCATATCTAAACTTCCCCTGGTGCAATTTGGGGTCATTTGTTCTTGTCATGTCACTGGTTGCCTGGGGGCAGAGCCTGACCCCCACCTGGCTGCACCCTCATGTCAGGGAGTCGTGTGGAGTGTCCTCCCCTGAGCCTTCTTTTCTGAAGGCTGAGGCCCCCCACCCCCATGCTCCCTCTCATAAGATTTGTGCTCCAGAGCCTTCACCAGCTCTTTGCCCAGCTGAGAAATATTTAAGCCACATCAGCCTTAATTCTGCCCCATACAATGTGCAAGCCTATATTAGGTTTATTTGGTTTTCTTCCTCCAACTCTGCTATGGCTGCTGTGGGAGTAAATTGTACTCAGAAATGCTGTTTTGGAGACAGGCAGTTGAGGAAGAGACATGTAAGAGAAAAAAAAAAGGGAGGCTTTTCCAGAGAAGGCACAGATGAGAATGGAGAACACACCTCCAAAGAGTTCCAGATCAATGCTTCTGCATCTACAGCACCAGCAGCCCCAGCAGAACTCACTGCTGTGAAACCCAAGGTTTACCAGCTGAAGATGGGTGCAGTTATGCCTATCCCAGTGAGCAAGGGCTGCGTGCACTCAGCCCCATCAATAACATGAGGGTGGTGTTGCTTAGTTACGCCATGGAAAATGGCTGGAAGAGGAAGGAAATCCAATTTCAGTTTTAAATCAGCTGTTAAACCATAAAAACAGTGTCCAGGATGATTACCTTTTTTAATTGACTATGTGGTTCTATATATGTAGGCCATCAAAAAAAAAAAAAATTTAAAAAAATCCATATGTAAATGCATGGATGAATTTAAACCCAAAAGGGGCTGAATTTCACACACCATCTCATTTCAAAAATTTTCTGTAAGAGCCTTAAGATAAGAAAGAAAAAAAACCTCAAAAAATCCAAACTGTAAAACAAATGTCAAAGAGCATTAAAACTAAGCTTACATGAAATCTCACACCAATTGACCACCTCGATTAACCGAGGAATTTATGTTCCATTTTCATGACATCAGTATAGTTTCAGAGTAATTTCAAAGTGCTGCTTTCATGTACTTGAACAGAGGGAGCTGGATTTGCCCACAAAAAGCCACATTCCTGATTGCTTTTCCAGGTGGCAACTCAGATATTGTGTCCGGCATTTAACTGTGTTCCAACTTCCAGCAGACTTTTAGGACTCCTTCTATATTTGAGAGCTGTGATGTTTAATAAAAGTTGACAAATTTGGTTCACTTACTGTTATTGTCACACCTGAGCATTTCACAGTGGTTAATGAAGTACAAAACAAAAAAAAATACAGAGAACTATAAAAATCAGGTTGGAAATTCTTTAAAACCCAGACAAAGGACTAAGAGCCTGAGGGACGTCTGGACTCTGCCAACCTTTCAGAAGTCTGGTTAGGCATCCAGAGCTATTAATAAAAAACCATCCACTATCCATATGATTTTGGGAAGGGGAGAAATCAACTGATTTTGTTACCATGTTTCTCACCTATGAAAAACAAGAATTATAATCTTTGTCCCTTAAATTTCATCTTTTTAGTCCCCTTAAAGTGTATGTTGCTCAGAATGAGGATTTTTCTCTCTATCTCTACTAGTTATGAATCTAGTAGTAATTACTAATAATGAGAAGATGGTTCTTAATCACCATGCCCTCAGTAGGAAGAATGGGTGACAAATTAATCCAAGCTAGAAACAAGACTCTTGTCAGTGCAAAGAAAGAAAGATGGCAAAGCTGCAGTGAATGCTGTGGACCCATTTCCTGCTCTTTGATGTCCCAACAGCTGGAGTTTATTTAGATATAAGTAATTTTCGAGTCAACAATAACAAACTCCACTGCACACCTTAGTTCTTTCTGGGTGAAATGTTTGGTTATTCAGAGTAGACTCAACTGCACGGAATATTCTGAGCTGGAAGGGACCCATGAGGATCATCAAGTCCAACTCCTGACTTCACACAGGACAGCTTAAAAATTAACTGTGTATCAAAGAATGTCCAAGTGCTCCTTGCACACCATCAGGCTTGGTGCCACTTCCCTGGGCAGCTTCCACTGCCAGATCACCTTCTCAGAGAAGAACATTTCAGTGACATCCAGCCTGAACCTCCCTTGCATCTCCTGCATCCCCTAATGCAGCTTTAAGCCATTCCTTTGTACCAGAAAGAAAAGATCAGCATACCCCTCTGCTCCCCTCCTCATGAAGTGGGGAAAGGATCAGGCTCATCTGAATTTGCAGCTGTTCAAAGACAGTTCATATCTGTCATACAGAAAAAGATGTGACTGCTCCATTTACATCTTAATACTGGACGTTACCAATTTTTCTGACTCAGACTTGTAGCTGCTGCCACGCTGTTTTTTCCCATGTTTCTTAAGTCAGCCTATACAGAAACTGAGCAGGTTTGGGATTGCTGGTCATGTAGGTAACCTGACAGTGGGAAAAGCCAGGTCTTAAAGAGAAAGGTAAGGAAGAGATACTAGCTGGCCTACCCTGCCCTGTAAGATCCTTGTACTTTTACCATTCTTTCACTTCCCCCATCCCCACTATTAAAGTGGTAGAAGTAGAGTTTGGGATAAAGCATCCATAGAAAATATTTTCCAATTAGATTTGATGTCTCAGGCCAGCATGGACATGTTGATTTAACACATTTCATGACCAGTATTTCTAACCAGAGAAAGGAAATCCACATGTCTGTCCAAATCTTTCTGCTCCAGAAAGAAGCAGAAAGAAAAGTTAACTCCATCATACCAGGACACTCCTGATCCCACTGCACTTGGGAGCTGTAGCCACCAAGTGCTCCAACCAAGGCAGGGTGTCAAATATTGAGTTTTTAATGACACCTACTGCACACAAAGGGCCATGGAAACTGCCCCGGGCCATCCAGCACACACACACACAGACTTTGCTTGTTATCCCTGGGTGCTTGGGAAAAGGCAGCAGGACACATCTGTCCTCACAGCTGTGGTGCAGTTTCAGTGACACTCAATGGGGACCCATAGGCATTTTGCTGGGTGTAAAACACCAGTATGGATGCCTGGATTTATTTTTATTTTTCATGTTAGCAGTATATTGCCTTCAGGTACCAAAGTGCAATAGAAAATTAATGCAAGGGTTAAGCAGCAAAGAGGAATGCAATGAACAACAGACTGTGAACAACAGCCCCAAAAGACCCAAAGGGTAGAAGCAGTTCAGGCCTGGGTGCTCTGCCCCAACTTACCTAGGATGTGTAGGCTGCAATCTGTCCTTCCTCTCCTTTCAGCTAGGAGCTCAAGGCAAACACTGATCAGCCAAATGCTTTGGGGTTTTCCACATGGCACCAGGGCTGTTCAAGGGTTAACTGGGGTTATTAAAGGCTGTCATTTCACAGCTCACATGCAGAGGTGCTCCATTAACCTATCTCAGGAAAGCCCTCAGGACCAGCACAGCTCCGAGGAAGGGAAAGGCCTCGGCCTACCTGCCAAGGTCTGTGTGCCACAAGTTCTGGAGCTCAGACCTCCCAAGGAACTGATCTAGGGGACAGACACGCTAAACTGACCTAAACTGCTGCCAAAGGATTGAAGCTGCCACAACTGAACAGCTTCCTGCCAGGTCAGGCCCTGGTGCTGGCTCCCTTCCTGACACAGGAGTTTCACCACTGCCACAAGAGAAGACTGAAAGGGCATCTCATCCATACATACAAGTATCTTGAATATGGGTTTTGAGATGGTGCCAAGATCTTTTCAGTGGTGCCCAGGGACAGGATGAGGAGCAATGGACACAAACTAAATACAAGAAGTTCCACCTCAGCGCGAGGAAGAATTTCTGTACACTGAGGGTGGCAGAGCCCTGGAACAGCTGCCCAGGGAGGGCCTGGAGCCTCCCTCTCTGGAGACATTCCAAACCCACCTGGAAATGCTCCTGTGTCACCTGCTCCAGGTGTCTGTACATAGAGCATAATGTCAGGCAGAATCAAAAAGATTCAGATCAATTGTTGTCTTGCTTTCTCTGAAATTCCTGCAGGTGCTGGTTGATCACTGAAAAAGAAAACCAACGAAGGTTAAAATATATTTGCCTTAGTGATGGCAAAGAACAGAGGAAAGTCATGCTGGAAATACAGTGGTTTATCTTTTGACTCTGCTTTGCTACTGCACCAAACCAGAGATGAAGAAGAAGAAACCAGTTTTGACAAGAGAGCTTTGGATCTTCTGTAGCAGAGAGCAGATGTTACTGATAGCTACAGTTTTATAAAAGGAAGGCTTCATAACATGGCTCCGGCCTGTTACTTAGGCTAAGTAGAAGGGAACTATGGGAGAGTGACTCAGCTGGAATAGGGGTAGAGAAACCTGAGAGATGCAAGAGACATCAGAAACGCGAGAGACGTGCTGCGTGACTGCCGCGTGTCCACAGCATGTCCACATCGTGGTGTATATGGTGGTTGCTTGATTTGGGCTTGTTGTTCCTTAAAACTATGGAAACCAATAACCAGCTAACTGCTTAAAAAGGCCGGGGTTTTGGCAATAAAGAGCACTCCTCTGCACCTGCCTGGGGTCTCTGCATCGCCTGTTATTGCAACAAGCAAACACAAAGCCTAAGCCCAGTGCATTCCCATTCCCTCCTGGAGAAACAAACAGGCAGCCTCAGGAAGACAAGCAAACCCAAGACTCTTCAAAAGAGTGAAATTAACTTAGGCAGGTGGAATTGGGTCATGGGGGGATTGTTTTAGGTCTGTATCTAATCTGCTTGCGCTGCATAAACAACTCAATTTAGTAAAAGTGTAGAAGAAGTGCAGTAAAAATTCTACAAATGTATTTTCTACAGATACCTCTGAGCATCCATGAATTCCTAAGATTATGAAGTATGTATCCCCAAAATGAGATGGAGAAGTATGGCTCTATTTATAGCCCTGTTATAGTGACTTTCCCCAGAAAATATCTTGTATCTATCGGTTGAGTGGTGTAACCCCCCCATGAAAGGCAATCTTAGGCTACAAGGTATTGATTGAGTGTCAGCTTTCACCGAGCAGCCAACAGTGTGCCCGTCTAGGTGCTGGTTTTTAGGGGCTGGTAAGCAAAAAATACCAAGGCATGTTTCATTTTGAGCTGTGTCAGTGCCCATCAGCCCTTTTCAGTGGTGCCAGAATGCTGCTTCCTGGGAAGTGGTAGTGGAGGAGCTCACAAGCTTCTTCATCACTACAGGCCATCCATCCCTCCTCTCTTGCCATCTTTCTTAAAGAGAAAACTTCACTACATGGCTGGGATTCCTGGTCTGAGAGAAATCCCAGTCTCAGGATTGCAACTTCACTTCCCAGGAGGCAAACATGCTCCACAGTTTCAAGTGAAGTATCTCCCAGTCAAAGCATCTGGGGCCATCTCAAAATCATACTCACCTGGAACACAGTACTGCTGGGAAGCCTGATGGAAAGATTCAGAGAGTTTTGAAAATCTAGGAAAGATTTATTTTTTTCTTCCCCCATGGAATAAAAGAAATATTTTGTGGTCACTGAATCGCTCTCAAGTAGGCAATGCAAGTAGCTCTGTTGGAGTACCCACACACATGGAAAAAACTCATGGTACAAAATGTCAGATGTATGATCATACAGTTATGGTTTTCATTGTTTTCTCTCCCAGATGGTTTTATATCACATCCCTGACCCTGATTTGAAAAGCAACAAAGATTTAGCTATTAAAAAAAAAATAAATATTCTTTTCAAACTCATTATACTGCTTATATTGTTTTTTGTTGTGGTAGCTCCTTGTTAAAATTCATTCTCTCCTTCCATACAATCTTTTCTGTTCCTCTGCACTTGCAGCGCTGTACATTCACCCTTTTGATTCAAACACACGTATCTCCATTATGGGCTCATAAGGATGGTCTTTGTCCCAGTGCAGTGGCCCTTTCCCTAAAAAGCCCTTTTAAGTGAGTGGTAACACAGAGCCTGGTCACTCCAACACACCTACTTCCAAAGAATTTTGGAATGGATTGGGTTGGAAGGGACCTTGAAGATCATCAAATTCCAACCCCCGCCATGGGACACCTGCCACTATCTCAGGTTGCTCCAAGCCCCATCCAACCTGGCCTTCTTTCAGGGATGGGGCAGCCACAGCTTCTCTGGGCAACCTGTGCCAGGGCCTCACCACCCTCACAGGAAACGCTTTCTTCTTAATATCCAATCTAAACCTGCTCTCCATCAGTGTGAAATTTCCTGTCACTGCTGTTCCTGATGAAGAGGTCCCTTCAGACAGGAGAAGGTTTCTATGAGGTCTCCTTCTCCAGGCTGAACTTTCTCAGCCTGTTTCTATAGGGGAGATGTTTCAGTCCCTTTATCAACTTGGTGTCCCTGCTGTGGCCTGGCTGCAGCAGCTCCCAGGGTCCTTCCTGTGCTGGGCCCAGGGCTGGATGCAGCCCTGCAGGGGGGGCTCAGCAGAGCTGGGCAGAGGGGCAGAATCCCCCACCCATGCTGCCCTGGAGTCTTGGATGAGATTTCCAGCGTTTTCCAAGGTATTTTTAGGTGTAAGAGTTTAAACAGCAGACTGTCAGCCTATTCAACACTGATGGCTGGGTTATTTCAGACCATTAGTGAAATACCCAAATGTCCAAGAAATCTGTGGTTTTGTTTGCTTTCCTCTGACTGCTTAAGGGTTGGTGCCTACTCTTTTCAAAGTGCCCTTTGGACCAGGGACTAAGGATGACACCACGTGAAAGACTCCCAGTCATGGCTCATTTGGCAGGGAACTGTTTCATCTGGTTATGCATCATGGAACACACCCTTCCCAGCAGCATTCCTTCTTCCCAGGACAGCCCAGCATAACATAGGCTGTCTCCCCTCATGCCATAAGTCCAGCTTCTATCCAAAATACAGCATGGAAGTAACAATGGTGTGGCAATATGGGGGTGGTACATCTTTAGATATCTTCAGGGTAAGTGCATCATGAGGAATAGGCAGCAAGAGGTTCAGAAAATGGGGTTTTTCCAGATAAATTTGATTAATTTGTGGATGGATTATGCAATTAGGGGGTGAAGGGAATACAAGTGGCTAAAATATGCTTGGATTTTACCAAAATATTTGATCCTCTGTCCTATGAAATCAACAGCGGGAAAAGTAGTCCAAATTGGCTTAAGAAAAAAACAAACCAAAACAACTAACATGTGGGCAGTAAACAGGCTGGAAGAATAGAAATAAAGGGAAATGACAAAAAACAATGAATCATATTGGAAAGGCTTTGTTTGTTTCATTCCCAAGGTGTGAAAATAATCAGTGTTAGTTCTGGTGTTATTAAATTGCATTCAAGAATGATCTGTGCATGAATGTAAGTTACAGCTGATAATAAATTGGGAATAAATACAAACACAAGTAGAATTAAAAAATAATTTTAAATAAAAAAAGGCAGAGGTATTTGGGAGTTTCTGGCAGGACCTAGAAAATAAGGGGTGGAAGAAGAATCAGGTGGGGATCTGGACTAGAGCAGTGAAACTGAGGAGGACAGTGGTCCTGAAGTGGTGAGTTAAAAGCACACCTCCTCCCAGGGGTGCCATTCAGAAAAATCCTTGAGCAGGTGCTTAACTTCAGACATGTAAATTGTTACTGAGTCACTGAGAATGAAACTAAGCCCCTTAAAAGCTGTTCTGAACTGAGATCAAATTGCTCAGCACCTTGACTGAGCCCATCTATTTCCCACATCTCTCCACAACTTTCCCCCACGATGGGAAAAGTTGATCTACTTGTTCTACTTCAGACTCATGGATGCTCCAAGGGCTCTTAAGGGAACATATCCAGCAACTGTGTGTGGATTCCACTCACAGAAAAGTATTTTGGAAGCCCAGATTCAGTTCAGCTTCAAGCAGAAAGGAGACAGAAAATTCCACACTTCTCCACAGACGAAAATTACATCAGCAACAGGAAAGTTCTTCAGAACAGTCCTGAGCACTTAGTTTCTGCTCAGATTTTCTTTGACAGATGTGTCACACAAACTCAAAATAAAGTCTCACTTAAATACTTTTTTCAAAGAGAAAAATGACACTATTTTATTTAAAAAATGAGACTGGGTCTTTTGATGAGTTTTCCTATAGAGGATTGCAGAGAAACTGAAACCAGCTTACAAAAGAACTTAACATTTTAAAGGGTTGCTATTTTCTAGTGAAAACTGTCTGATCTGTCCTTCTCTCCTTGTATTCACCCTTTTATCTTTGTGATAACAAACACTGATATGATATTACTGATATGACTGTCTGCATGCATGGTACAAGAAATTCTCATTTTTTATTCTTGCCAACAATTCCCATGCTATCTTGTGGGACTTTGATGATCCTTGTGGGTCCTTTCTAGCTCAGAATATTCTGATACTCATTGCATACTGTTCCTACTGCCCTCCAAGAGACTTGCAAACAGCCTTTCCCTTTCTACCTCATCAGAAACTTCCCCTCCAGCTCTGCTTGGCAGTGAAAACTTTATTATCACCTTTTTCTGAATATTTCTTCTGGGTCAGTTCTTTGTGGGAAAAAATAAACTGAGAAAACATCACGAAACAAGAAACATAACAAAACAAACAAACAAACAAAACCAGCAAACCAGAAAGTTGGGAAGTTGTTGATAAAGAACCACTTTTAAGGAACAACAATGAGGTAAAACTCCCTGTTAGTGCAGCAGCTGACCGTCTCAGCAAAGTCCTTGATCTATCCACTTTCCCAAGACACAGTTCTCCCATGCCTTATCAGGGGGTTTTTCATGAAGGATTTCTGGAGTGCTGAAAAATCTTCTGAGCTCTGATGGGTTATTGGAAATAAATGGTGGATGAACTCCTTTGAGGTCAGTACCTTTGCTCAGTGGTCTGTGATTTGCAGAGGATTTGCCTTAGGGATGAGGATGATACCTTCTGATCTCATGCTAGCTTTTAGAGCAAAATTTTTGTTTCTATTGTTTACAAAGTACTGTCCCCATTAATAAGTTTTTATAGATAGTAATAATTCCTCAGTGCAAAATATTAAGTCACTGTGTAAGCAATCCCTCCAAGACACATTGTTTTCTTTAAATCTTTAGCTAAAAGCCTTTATGGCAGTTGGGTCTCTGATACTGTGTTACTTCACCTCAGATCCTGGGTTTGCTCAGATTACTGCCAGATTTCTTAATTCGCCCTTGTGCCAGCTGAGATGGTGCAGTATCTCTGGGCCAGTACCACGCTGCAGCCTGTCAAAATGTGATAGGAGATGGCCCTGAAGCCTCCCTGACTTAAACTGCAGCTGTCATTTTCCATCAGTCCCCACTGCTGGAGCTTAGCTCCTGCTGGCACAGCATCCTATGCACAGTTTAAGCCCTGCTTTTCTCTGCAGGTCTCCACTTTTCACACAACTGACACATTTTACTCTCTCCCCCTTCTCTCACTCCAAAAAAGCTTCCTCTTGTTCCTCTCACTTTTCTTCTCTGGCCCTGTTCCTTCTGTGTGTGAATTCCCATATGCTTTCTTCCCCTCACTCACACCATCCTTGCTTCCACCACAGTATTAAGCCATAATTAGCAGGAATAGAAAACCAAAAGCTTCTAAGGAACCCCTTCCTCCATTCTCAGTTTCAGATGAAGCATATTTGCAATAAGGTAAGGAAAGTAACATGTCCCCAGCACGAGAGCCCGCTCTTAGGATGACACTTCATCCACACTGCCTGGAGAGCTCTGTCCCTGTGGGGCTGGAAACCACAGCCCAGGCTCCTATTGTGAGCCTGGCCACACA